TGAAATTAATCAATTTTCTATTGTTTTCAGCAAAGAATAGAGGAAAGAAAAGTTAGGAGGAGGGAAGCTGAACTACTTGGAGATGAGGTATTAAAATTCTGTAACCAGAAGATGTAAACTGCATGGAAAATAAACTTGCATATATATATATATATATATATAATCACATGCTATGAAATTAATCAATTTTCTATTGTTTTCAGCAAAGAATAGAGGAAAGAAAAGTTAGGAGGAGGGAAGCTGAACTACTTGGAGATGAGGTATTAAATTTGGAATGATTATAAGAGTATTGTAAGTCATTAAATAAGATTAAATTGTGGCCTGTATGTCTATTGTGCTTACAATAAAAGCACACTATGCGCATATTCTAATTATTGTTGTGCTGATTATGTAAACCAGTGTTGAAACTAGCGGCCCACGTCCCCTAGTCTGGGACTGATAACTTCTGAGCAGGACTTATAAAATAAAAATATGTGTATAAACTTTTAAAGTCAGGCATGTAATGCCGCATGAGAATGTGATGGTAAAATATTATCTTTTTTAGTTATCCTTTTTTTTCTCAATTTAGGCACCACCAAAGCAGGTTCCGCGTACAATTGAAAACACGCGAGAGGCTGATGAAACGATGGTCACACAGGATGATGAAGAAGTATTAAAATTTATCAGCTCACTTTTGAATTATTAGTGAGGGATGTTATTTGCATGGTGCCACACTAAAATTTTAGAGCCAATTAGTGATATAAATACCATAAATAATCTCCTCATTATGTTTTTCTAACAGTATAGTGATTATAATCCATATTGGTTTCAAAGATCTGGAGTCTGATGTGTGGTTTCAAAAAGGACAGAAGGTGGATGAGTTTAATTTCCAACAACATGTTAATGGTCTTCACCCTAGGTTCAGTATGACGAAGCAAACGATGAACTGGCATCATACTTCAAGCGGGAAAGTTTGCCGAAAATTCTTATCACGACGTCGGACAGGCCTAGAACGGTATAACTTATATACAAACTATAATCCGCATGAATCTTGTTTGTTGTCAGATGAGAGTGAAATGCATACATTAAAGGATGAAGGTTAGTGTCAGAGGTGCATAGGTGAATAAGGGGAAACAGTGGTCATAGACATTAGACTGGTGTCGTATATGTGCAAAGTGTTTACACAGACGTCATGATCCCCACTTGTTTACCCCAACAGCTTTAAACGTTATCACAATGAACTGTAGGATATTTTTTGATATTGCATTTGCTGTTTGCTTTATTTCTTATAACTATATTTGCATTGTCTGTAAACTTTAAGAGGCCATTATATTGGTTTCAGAAAACCAACAAGTTTGTGCAGGAATTGAAGATGGCGATACCTAATTCTCAGTCAAAGTATCGCCGAGGCTTGGATCTAAAGAAAATTATTCCGCAAGCAATTGCTAAGAGCTTTACAGATCTGATAGTTATTCATGAGGATCGTGGCGAGCCTAGTATCCTTTCTGTGGACAATATTCATGCCTTTTTGATTATATGTCTAGGTGCATTTTATTCTTCTACAGTATTAGAGTATTAATAGTAACTGTCATAATGCTGATAGGGTGGATCAGTCCACTACTGCATATATCAAATTTAAAACTAAATATAGTACAAAAAATAATCTTTATTGTCTATATATAATACAGCTAACTTATTTTTTTATAATTGAGCCACTTATTTAATCTATATTGGCTGTTAAATTTAAAAATGGTTATTGCATGTCTTAAATCCTGTACAAAGTATTTGGTTTCACCTATCCAATAAGAATTTGATTTAATTGAACATATTGAATAGAGTTATTACATCTGTACTATATTACAGTTTACTACCTACGAATGAAATGTATGAAATTATCGATATTATTCCTGATTCATAATTTAGATGCACTCTATGTCTGCCATTTACCAGAGGGGCCTACTGCACACTTCAAATTGTCCAGCGTAAAGTTACGGAAGGACATTAAGGTTGTAACATTTACCCCAGTTGATTGAAAATATTTTTCAAGCTTGTAAACGTCAAACCAGACAGCTTTTTATCATTATAATTGTGATCTCATTTTTAGCTTGCCTTGACATCGTCAAGATGAGCTATTGCCATGGGGTGTCGTCTGTCGTACGTCCGTCCGTCTGTCCATCCGTCAACATTTGGCTATAGTCAACGATAACTCAAGAACTGTTTGACCCACATGTTTCAAATTGCATGCAGTTGTTACTCCTATGGGAGAGGTTTGAATGTCCTATTTTGGAGCACGCCAGTCGACCTACATTTGAGCCACGTCCACTTTTTGGCAAAAATGGAAATGGCCATAAAAATCAGTTCAGGTTCAATGGATTTTGCTCATTTCTGGTATGTGAATGAATGAGGACTGGTCCCAAAACATATCACACAGGTTTTGATTTTTTTTTTAATTGTGCAAATTAGGTAGATTTTGCCAATTTCACTATGCATTTCAGTGTCTGCCTACGGTCAACGATAACTCAAGAACCGTTTGACCCACATGTTTTAAATTGCATGCAGTTGTTACTCCTATGGGAGAGGTTTGAACGTCCTATTTTGGAACATGCCAGTCGACCTACTTTCGAGCCACGTCCACTTTTTGGCCAAAATGGAAATGGCCATAAGTCAATTCAGGTTCAATGGATCTTGCTCATTTCTAGTATGTGAATGAATAAGGACTAGCCCCAAAACATATCACACAGATTTTAATTTTTTAAATTTTTTATTATATGCAAATTAGGTCGATTTTGGCTATTTCACTACGCATTTCAGTGTCTGCCTACGGTCAACAATAACTCAAGAACCGTTTGACCCACATGTTTCAAATTGAATACAGTTGTTACTCCTATGGGAGAGATTTGAATCTTCCTATTTTGGAGCACTCCAGTCGACCTACTTTCGAGCCACGCCCACTTTTTGGCAAAAATGAAAATGGCCATCTAAATTCATTCGATTTTGTTAAATTTTGGTATGTGAATCCATGTGTAACTGTAAGGCTAGCCCCAAAACAGTTGTTACTCCTATGGGAGAGATGACAACGTCCTATTACGTTTATTTCGTCTAACTGGTTAACAACTCTACAATCATACCTATATACATGTAATATTGTGTTTTAGATTCTTCGTTACAGTAATTTGACTGGAATATTTTATTGTTTTTATTTGCGCGATATTCGAAAACCAAAATGGCGATCATTTACGCGTAGCGCCATCTTTCGTCAAGATTTCAGACTTTCATATCTGAAACATTTATTTTCGCATCAAAACTTATGCATATGATATATCATTATCAAGAGTATATAATGGGAGATATGCTATATAATGGGAGTTCTCCCATATATAGCTTTGCTTTATATATCCCCCCTCCCTCTTCTATCACACCCAAGGTGAGCTACAGTGTCATTGACACTTTTATGTATTTAGCAGTTTGATGTACAGTCCGACCTCCTTTATCCTGCCATCCGTTATCCGGAAATCTCTATTAACCGGCCGCGATCTCGCAGTGTATGTTCTTAGTTTTTCATTCATTTCCACTTAAAAATCTCGCTCAAAGCTCACTCAAAACTCGCACGATGTACCAACCGTACGTGTGTTTGCGTGTGTGCGCGCGCGTGTGTGTGTGTGTTGTCCGCTCGTGTCCACTATGCCTCCGGTAAAATTTCTGTTTTATTTCATTTTATTTTATTTCTTATAAACCATAAAACACGACAGTTTGTTACAAATAATCAGCAACGAGTAAATACATTATCACATGCATAAACTCTACTGAACTGCATAGAAATGCTGTGTTTGAGCGTAACTCTCATATCCGGCCAAATCCCATATCCGGATGGGTGCCGGTCCTGACGTGGCCGGATAAAGGAGGTCGGACTGTAATTTACATGCACTCGTAACTCGTTTCACGTTGTGACAGATCGTTTCATTCTTTATTTTGCAGAGAGTTGGTAAGCCTTGCAGCAATCAGCCAGAGATTGTTCTGAACAACTTCAACACTCGCCTGGGCCATTCTATTGGACGCCAGCTGGCTGCTCTCTTCCCTCATGACCCAGAGTTTAGAGGTCGCAAGCTTGTCACGTTTCATAACCAACGAGATTTTGTATTCTTCAGACACCATCGGTATGTAGCAAAGCTGTGAAGTTATGTAGCAATTCATTTGGCCAATAATAATGTTCTGTTTTAGGTTCTGAACTTTATATGAATTAAAACTTGGTGTCTCAAAAATTGCTGTTTATAACCGGGTATTTTTCTGTAGGAAAGTTGCAGTAGTGTCTGTTTCGTGTGTTTATATGGTTTACCCATCAGGGTTCTCCTCCAGCCGTTCATGCGCGTCGGGTCTGACATGCGTTCAAAGTTGCAGTTAATTTGCAACATCCCATAAATCCTCCATTTTGCCTAAGTTGCCCAATTGCCATGGCTTAATTTCCAGCTGTGTTTACTTTTGACAGTCCCAATACAGTCGTGCTGTTTTCACAGCTTGATGTATACATCTCTGAAGTGATAGAGTTTACCTGTGTATTGGGGCCGCTTTTGCCATGCGTAATTGACCCCAGTTGGTGAAACCCCCTCCCTGGTCCTCGTCGACGTCACCATAAATGAAATGCGGAAATTCCTAGGCAGAACCCTGTTATCTATGTAAATCCTGATGTAAATGAATGTTGCCACATGACCGAATGCTCCTGGGACAAACTTGGCAAGCTTAACTGGTATCAGTGGTATGGTGGAAATTTCCCCAGAATTTGCCAAAGAAATCCCTTATAGTTGTCGTTATATTCACTTGAGATTTATGGCCAAAACGTTACCCTGTTGCTATTACGATATGCAAATTCGGTCATTTTCCTATGAGTTTGGGTACTTGTGACACCGATGGTCTATAACAAATGTTTTCATGCTCAGAAAATTGCAAATATTATACAAATTGTAGGTACGAATTCAAGAGTGGGGAGAAAGCTGCCATGCAGGAGTTGGGGCCGAGGTTCACATTGAAACTGAAATCCCTGCAGAAAGGCACGTTTGACAGCAAGTACGGGGAGTATGAGTGGATTCTGAAGGTTTGTTTGCATTTGGTACCATTACAGACATTTATTATGAATTGTATTGCTGTAGCATATACAATATGTATGTGTCTCGTAGACTATGTAGTACTCGTGAACCTATTCTTATGCTGTTTTTCTTTGCGTATATGTAAATTTATATGTATTCACTCAGCTCAAATTATAAATGGTAGAATAACATCGCCCCTTTTAAAATTAATTGTAACGAATTCTTTCATTTGAATGAAATCTTTGACGTATTTAAATGTCTTTTCAAATAACTATGCCAGTATTTATGCTTCTTCTCCGGTTTCCAACATTATTTAAGCCTAGCGAATGTATATAATTTTGGTACAGCTGTACAAAATACATTCACGATTTCAATCCTAAGTAATTAAAAATATTTCTTGATCCTTATTTCCAGCGACATGAGATGGAAACCAGCAGACGTCGCTTCTTTTTATGAGTCCACGAAGGACTACTGTTTTAAAGCCACAATATGCACATCTGCACGTTAATTTCTCCAGTACTAGACTAGCAAATACTTCGTGTCATGCATAATCATACTACCTTAGGACAAAATAAACTCTAGTTCCTCCTATTTCACTGTGCGTTGACTTATAAAAGGTATTTGAAAATACCTCCAATGTTGTTCGAATTCTCCGATGTTGTTGACACTTTCGCGTTGCTCTGCCAAGCAACCGTACAGCGAGTGTAGCAAAGATTTCTACGGCCCGTGTGCGTTTTTCGCTCGCACGCTGCTAGCGCAATGACATGTTATTGTTGGCGATATCAAGTCTAAAATCAATACGTTATTCTCAGAGTTTATTACGCTGCCTATTATTACTTTCCCAATAGCCATTGATGTTACATACACTGCAGTTCACAATACTACAACTATCTTAAAATGTAAACGCCTATATTCTCTGCTAAACACCCGTAGCAACATGTGACGTCACCTAACCTATTCGGGGCGAAATTGCTTAGCAAACAATTTGGCGTTGGCGTCAGATTACCAGATTTCTCACCTCTTTCTTGTGGGTTTTAAGCAAACGCGCAGTGAAATGGGAGGAACTAGCATTTATTTTGTCATAAGGTAGTGTGATTATGCATGTCATGAAGTATTTGCTAGTCTAGTACTGGAGAAATTAGCGTGTAGATGCGCATATTGTGGCTTTAAGTAATGATAAATCAACTTGAGAACAGCCAACTAGGAGGTATATGCAAACCAGAAATAGACATCCAGTTTACCTGTGCAAGTTTGATATTCTTGTTTAGGTTAACAGTTACTAATATCAGCTAGTTAGTATGTACTCCATTTGCTGTAAGTTATATCGCTTTAAATTCTTTTCCTTTTCTGTCAAAATGATATTTTGTTAAAATTGTCATATAAATTGGTAAAACAACAGGTAGTTAGACAATAGGCGTACAACTATAGCTGTCTGTATCACCGAACCAGAAACACTAAACAAATTCAATCAGTAACTCATACTCCACATTATACTATATATCAATTGAACATTGTTGTATGATAAATTATATTAAATATATTTAAAGTACATATATTTTCTGGTGATTTTTCTGATAAATATTTGATCAAATTGATCTTTTAGTTGCAGTGCATTTTACCAGTTGTGTACTGCCAGATATATGTTATCATACTGCATTTTCAAATAGTTTATGAGATTGTCAATATATGTCAAGTCTTCAATTTGTGTGTGCAATTCTTTTGCATCACAGTCACATCTGTCGGCTCGGTCCCAGGTTTTATAAAAACCAGATCGGATAGTTTTTGCCTCCTTGTTCATTTGCACGGTGTTTTGCTGTAGTTTCTCTACTTTTGCTCGCAGCTGTCTCCATTCTGCAAATTCCTGTTCAATGTGCAATTCCAGTTCATTGTGGTCCTCTTCAATATCCATCACTGAATTCTTTTGAGCTTCACAAGAGTATTTATCTGATGGATAATATGCCATTCTAAATTTTCAAGTATTTAAAATAAAAGTTATTAAAAATGTAAATTTAAAGTCAAAATTACTTGAAGAACTAGCCCTTTATTGAAAGACATCATTTTAAAAACAGAAGTTAGAATTACATGGCCTGGGAACTAAATGCTAACTAAAGTTTGTTGCATCATCTAGTTATTTAATAGCAATCTACGAAATCTACAGTTTACAACTCAATGAACCGAGTCCAGCATTTTTCGTCATTTGAAATGGTGTGGTGTGGTTGTTCATGGTGTGATGCACGCGTTTTAAATGATCATTAACCTCCATTCATCCCCTAACTTCATAAATATTAGTCTTCAAAGTCCAAAGTACTGTGTTGAAGACCGATCCCCTTAGAATTATTACCCAAAACAAACAAGAATAATAATTACCTTCAGACGTTTTGCAGCTCAAGTAATGGTATTAACATGAACCCGTTGATCACCATGAAATTCTTGTCTAACGCATACGTGAACATACGCAACGCATAATGCTCATTATCCGAACGAACGCAGTGTATTTATACCAGACAATGTATTGTGATGCAGCCTATTTACTTATAGACGTAATGCGGGTATTGTGATGTTGTCTTAGCAACTCACTGAATCTTCACGTGATTTATAAGTGCACGCGCGCGCCCATTTATATACGTCTGTCAATGCACGCTTGGTGCGCGAGGAGAGTACGTTAGTGTAACGAAGAAATGAAAGTTCGATGTTTAAATGATGATATAGAAATCCAAACTTGTGTGGTAACCTGAATAAACTTTAATATCTTACACACAGTGTGTCCATCTTGCACAAAGGAACAAAGAAACGAACACACGCGCGTAATCGCGTGCTCTTACTCTCGCGACCACAACCAGACTCTCCCACATTTTAGCCATAACCCTGCATTCTGGTGCAACACATTCACGCGGATGTGTCAAACTGCTAGATACAAAAGATGCGTCGCGTCACGCTCACTGCTAAAATAATAGTCTCTGGCTACGTGAACGAACAGCTGTTACATTTCTCTCCCCCTTTTCATAACACGATGCCCCATCGTGATTTCGGACTACTGGCCGATATAAACTATGTTTTCAACGTTACTGAATCATTAACTATATTTATACTCTACAAAACAAGTAACGATAAAGTTCTATCACCATACTAGTCAGAAATTTAACACATTTGGCGGTGAACATTTTGATATCGCTGCAATTACTCTCAGTCTTGCGTCTTTTTATGCTGTAACGTACGTGGCGTATATGCGTATACCGACACGCATTGTCGAAACCACGATTAGCCATGTGCTCCATTACATCCTCATTTAACCTATTATTACACACAGCACCGATGTGGACCTGACCATCTTTGTCACTTCCACATATCATACAGCCAAAAAAATATGCAAAACTGATTTCATATTTTTGATGAAATGTTTTAGACCTATATCAAACTCTAATTGAAGAATGTGTTTAGCAGTCTGACAATATAGCGTAAACGTACCGTTAGCACAAATTCAAGAAAACGATCACACATTTCTATACAGAGTTTCACACAAAAGATTTTCCCACACAAAGTCAAACGGTCACAAACATATACCATGAAAAAATTTCCGCATATATAAAACAAAGTAAAAACAGATAAAAATACACATTCTTGACAATGTCACACTTTCACGTCCAGTTTCGACGGCACGAGATTAAAGCTTTCCGCCAATTAAATTATAGAATTCCCTGGATATTTTTTTTTGCCATTACTGTTCGCAATTTATCTTTCACGGCCTCTGTCTCTGCTCTGTCAGTCTTGCCTTCTCTGTTCTGCTCTTCTCTCTCTCTCTCTCTCTCTTTCTCTCTCTCTTCTCTCTCTTCTCTCTCTCTCTCTCTCTCTCTCTCCTCTCCTCTCCTCTCTCTCTCGCTCTCTCTCTCTCTCTTCTCTCTCATCTCTCTCTCTCCTCTCTCGTCTCTCTCCCTCTCTCATCGGCCTCCTCTCTCTCTCCACATAGAGTCTGGGAACTTTCAGACTTGTCTTCCTCAGCAGGTATCCCGGAACAACACCGGCCTACTCTCTTCTTCACGTGACTTACTCACAGTAATTCATACGCCTGTGTGTTATCCACCGTTCTACTCTCCCGCGTCTCGCTCTGTTCCTCCCGTCTCGCCCTCTCCGCCATTCTTCGTCTCTGTCGATCGCTCTCCGTTGATTCTTTCGTTTATCCTACTCTTTGCTCCTGCTTCCCGTCTCTCTCTCTCTACTCGTCTCCTCTCTCTCTCTCTTCTCTCTCTCTCCTCTCCTCTCTTCTCTCTTCTACTTCCTCGTCGTTTCTTGCCTCTCGTCCCTCTCCGTTTCTCTCTCTTCAGTTTGTGTCTTGCCCAGCGCTAGCTACTAGCGGCACTCTCTGTGTCTCTGTTCTTCTACCATCTTTCTTGCGTCAGTATGGGCGCCGTAGATCCGAACAACCGGAGGTACCTTAACCGTTTGGTCCGCGCAAACTGAATACCCTAGTTTTCTGCACTGTCACTGACACCCAAAATGCTAAATTTGAATTAAAAGTTCGATGTATAAATGATGATTAGAAATCCAAGACTTGCTGATGGGTTAACCTGAATAAACTATGTAATATCTTACACACAGCGTGCCTGTTCACTCTTGCACAAGAAAACAAAGACGACACACTGCGCGTCGGCTGTAATCGCGCTCTTACTCTTCGCGCGACCTGACAACCAGACTCCCTCCAGCATTTTTTAGCCAGGTAACTTGCAGTCTGGTACAACACATTCATCGACTGATGTGTACAAAGTGGCTAGATACAAAAGATGCGTTCGCGTCACGCCTCTCACTGATAAAATAATAGTCTCTGTGCTACTGTGAACAAAAGTCAGCTGGTGGGATGTTACTAATTAGGATGCCTGTACTAACATGATGGTAAAGAAATAGACAGTGTAGCACTCGGAATATATATCTCGGAACGGATCTGACGCTATGTAACTTACAGTAATGCCCGTGTTACGTTAACTTACATATACGTCATTTCTAAATTATGGCCACTTTACTTAACTCGCGATACGCAACAAAAATTCATTCTCACGTAAATTTTCAAAATATTGGGGCTTATACAATATTTTATAATATTATATTAGCGTGCTAAAATTTATGCACACGTAATAAATATACAACCAGCTGCCAACAGGTTTGCAGCTAGGTTGTAACGTAACGCTGACTTCTAATTACACAGTTTGACCGCGTGTGCGCGTTTCATCAAGTAGCCCCCCTCCCCGCGTCTAGTATACCCCAAGTACATGTATACGATATACAGAGTTATACATAACGACCTCTGCTACTATTGAGGGCAGGGGAATGGGGGGGAGGGGGACAGAAAATCCAACTTTAGAATATTTTCGGATCCAAGTCAGAATATGAAACATCCAACGCGCGAACACAGCAATTGATAACGCAATACAGAGTTTGTCAGGCTAGCACTATGGGGGCCCGCCAAGTGTCGCATGACTGCATTCGTTACGAAATCAATGATTCGCTTACGAAATCAACTACGCCGAGTGATTTTCGTACGAAATCAGCTACTTGCGCAGTG